CAAAAAATTAAAAGCCCACAAAATAATTTTAGATGCTGTTGCGTTATTATGTTTGTCACGCGATTTAAAACGATTTGATAAAATTTTTCAACATCTGAGCTTTATTTTGTTAACGAAATGCACAGAAAATTGCTATGAAAGTTTTTAGATCCTTTGTAAGTTCATTGAGGGGAATAAACGTGATATAGAAGATGCTGAAGAACTATGCACTGAGAAAGAGTATGAAGATGTAGAAGATGAGCAGGAAGACGATGTTTCATGTAAAAAGAAAACCAGTAAGCCTATGTACGAACAGTCACCGTTTTACCACCGCTACAATAAAATAATGGCAAAAATCGAGGCAAAAATCGAGATAAAGCTAGAAGACAACGAACGTGACGTCGATGATGACGATGTAAACAATCCATGTTATTGTCCAGAATTTTTAACTCATTTACTAACGCTTTGAATACCTTATGCTCCGATGTGGAGTGCTTTTGATCTTGTAGATCCAAAAATTTCTCGTGTGACGAACGCTTATGTTGAAAGCACTCATAAAGTTAATAAAACCAGAGTTGTTGAAAATGCAAAAAATACATTAGTAAGTGACTGTGTGAGGTTGATGAAAAATCATAGGAAAGACATACTAAACTGATTACATTTAAATATTGACTTAAAGGGAAGTATAACCAACAAAAAACCTCGTTATCCTGAAACAATACCAAATCCAACGCTCATAGAGGAGTGGAAGAAAGAAAAAAAAAATAAACGCAACGAAGGTCATGTAAGGGGGGCGCAAATTATAAAATACTGTAAAAAAGTTGTCGAAAGTATTGAAACCGACACTCAAGGTAATACTGATAACTTGCAAGATTCTCAAAACCAAGATGTTGAGGTCTCCAATACAGATAGACTTTTTAATCTTATTTGCGCAAACAAAATTCAAGATAAAAGAGTGAAAAAAAAGTAATTAGAGAAACAATTATTGATCCAAAAGCACCGTGTCATAAATTGGATGAAAGGGTGAAACAACATCAGGTTACAGCTATCGAAGACAAAAAAAACAAGGAAGCTGCACCTCATGCGACGGCAAGTGGTGATAAATCAATGAAGACAGCTATAAGTGATAAGAAAAAATTGTAAGGAATTATAAGTTGAGACTTGAGAAGAAATTGAACAGATACAGAACAATAAGGAAGTACGTGAAACCAAGGCATCTGTAGACATTGATTTAACATCGTCTGAAATCATAACAACTGAAACTCATTCCAATGGATTGTTAAACAGCGTAAAGTATTAGAGTAACTGTTTAACTACTACAGTAATAATTAGCTGGTACTTAAGGAGGTTTGGGAGTTTTAGCGGGGGGAGGGCTGAGGCAAGAGGGGAGCTACATACTTTTGTACGGGACAAGAGTGTAGATGCCAACTTAAGAAAATAAAATATGATTTCTTCAAAAATAATACCAATAATTAGTCAATGCATCCTCCCTGTATCAATAGGTTTGCCTTTATAGTTGATTGTTGGCTAAAATCGTCTGCAAAAATTTTTGAGTAAACGTGACAACGTTGCGATTGCTTAGACGTTGGTAAACTTTGGATGATGTATATATAAGTATACACCATACTATGAAAGCTGGGGCCAGCTGTTCTGCTCTTCTGCTGTGTAAAAACTGCTGCTACGGATTCTAACCACACACGTATTATTATTATTTTTTTGTTTACCGGTTTTTTCAAAATGCCTCCAGTAAATGTGAAGTGGAAAGGAGTATACGTTTCAAAAAAAGTGTTTGAAGCTAAATCCCGGGCTTCTAAAGTTGGAAAAGCCAACAAATAAATACTCACAGTTGATCAAGAACTTCACAAAACATCGGAGGACATCAGAGGCACAGTGCCTGTATAAGGCAACAGAATAGTTAACCTCCAACACTTGGCTCAAAGCATGTTCTGTGTTATGTGCAAACTAGAGTTGTTGATCCAAGATATTGAAAAAGAAGCCAAAAAAGGTTCGTTGTCTATTTTGTATATCAAGTGCAGGCAGTGTTTGTACATGAATGCAGGCACTACTGGAGCTGAAAGCCTGAGTCCAATCATCAACCAAAAATTTAGTTATTTAAATGCCCAAGTAGTGCTTGGTAAACAATCACTAACTCTTTCACTGCATAATTATATATTTATATAGTATAAACTAATCAAACCGTCTAACTATTTCTAGGTGTTATGCATGCTGATTTTGGTGCTACGCAGCTGAAAAAGTTTTTGAGCTCAATAGAAGTCCCATGTTTGGATAATAAAACTTTCAAAAGTCATGAAAGAATGATTGGACCCATTGTGGAATTGGTTGCAAAAAAAAGTTGCACATAAGCAGCTAATTTAGAGAGACTGCTGACATTGGAAAATATTGAAAAATTAAAAAAGTTGATGTGAGTGTGTTCTCTAATGTCTGAGCAGGTTTTAATATTCATATTATAACAGGCAAAATCATTATCAATTTGGCCAAACATCAAGTAAATCATTATTTATTTGGTGTTCATGATTTTTAAATAATTTTTTTAACTATAAAGTGTATTATCTATGAATTAATATTCATGCTAAAAAAAATTGTTTTTTTACTTTAAACTTGATGAAATTTTATCTGATTATTACAATGATTTTAATATATAGACCGAGTACTTTATAACATAATTTTTAATTTTTTTAAGAATTTATACTTAACTGTACTTTCTGATAAGAGATAAAAGTGAANTGATTAAATTAAAATAAATTAAAAAAATAAATAAATAAATAAATAAAGGCTTCAAGAATCACGATTTCTTCCTAGTAATTTCCTGTATTTTTGTTTATGTAACATACCAAGTGAGTTACATGAAGGTTTTTTGATCATTCAAAAAGAGTCACTGGATATAGAAGATTGTGTTGTCAGAATTTTTGCGTCGTACGATATGGGATGGAGCCAATGTTGTTTAAGATTGCATTAGTTTCAAAGAGAAAAGTCGTGATTTTAATAACTTTGAGTATGCAATAGTTTTTTTTTACCTTGAAACTGGAGGATTAGCTGTATCAAAAGCCATCCTGCAAATATCTATTAAGTCTGAATCTACTGAATTTAATCGTTTCATCATGCCGACAACTGCTATAGATCCAAAAGCGTCTCAGGTTAATGGCATAACTGTAGTTCAAAAACAATTGTTTCAACGAGGTGAGAAAGTAAATGGTATTAGTAAAAATGTTGCGTTTGCCGAAATGTTAGAATACTTGCAAAATTTGGGTAAAACATGTATTTTTGTAGCTCACAATTGCACTTTTGATTCTACTCGGATTGTATTTGTTATGCAAAATTTAAATTTAATTGATAAATTTGGGCAAATAGTGACAGGATTTTCCGATACCCTGTCTTTATTTAGGAAGAGGTTTCCAAGTACAGTATCAAATCATAAATTAACAACAGTTGCCTCGGAACTTTTGAGTTTACCAAGTGATGGAGCTCACAACGCTCTTTTTGATGTTTGGTGCGCGGTATAGGGGGTATGTCTGCGCGGGCTGGGGGGACTCCCCGTTCCTCACCTCTCTGAATGATACTCCTAAACCTCTTTAAGAAAACAATCGACAGTACACAGCTTGTACCAGATAGCAGAGTTTTCGACGCTACGATTTTATAATTTATCGTGCCCATCTATACCTCACGTAGATTCTCATTCATACCCTTTAAAGATACATTTTTTATTTAAATATAACAACAAACTAAAGAGCTAAGCTTTTTAATAATACCTCTCAAGGACAATTATGTTGATTATGTTACATTTAATTTTCTAAGCAGTTAAAAATTTTATTCAATCTTTATCATTAAGAACACAGAATTAAATCATTTTATAGTAGTTTAAAGGGCTCCTTCTCTTATAAATTAGTTGCATACTACGTTGCCCTATTAATCACTTCGTGGTATTCCGAGTGTATGGGTAGCTATCCCATATAATAAAAAATGACAGTCCATCAGTAAAATTTGAGACAGTTCCGTCCCCCTGTAGAAGAATAAAGTCCAAAACAGTGAGTCGGAATGTAAAACGGGCAGCGTCCACTGTCTCTTAATGCCACGTTTAAGATCACTCTGTAGCTGCAAAGCCGCTGGGCTTTAAACAGATAAACCTATCACAATAGGCGTGCACGTACACTGCGAGTACTTGTACACAAAGAAATAATGGAAGAATTTTTAATTTATAAGGAAAAAAAAAAAAAAAGAAACAGAAGACGCAAACCTGCTTTCGAGAAAGCAGAGGAGGTACGCGGTGGAAGACAAAAGGGAGAGCCCGCCCGTCTCAGTGTACCCGTACAAACGGAGGGAAAGGAAAAAGAGGAAAAAGAGCGGAGGAGCTTTAATCGCGCAACAATGGGCATACTGCCCCTCCTCGCCTTCCTTCGACCGCGAAGCAAGAGAAATGCAATATAATACGGGTGTAAGCGTGTACCTACATCGGGGGGCACGGAGAAGCGCGCGCCTGCCGTCCGCCCACGCGATCCCGGCTACGCTCGAGCCCGTATAATACTTACTTATGACTGACCCCGATTTCGAGCCTCCACGCCCCGGCGTTCCTGCGCCGCACAGAGTCCTCAGGGTATGTAGCTAGCCACTACTTGTTGCTGGATTTTTTTTGCCCCAGTTTCGGTCTACAATTGCGAGAAAGGAGGGAAACTGCGTTTTTTTGGTAATTACATTGTGGACGTGAGATCTTTTTCTCGATTGTCTCTTGAGATCCATGTTCTATTTGATCTATTAATTGACACGTAAGATGAATTGAACGGATCGTCGTCTCGAGTGATACATCGACTCACAACGACACGCAGAGGGTTAGAGAGAAGAACAAAATTTCTTACAACAGTTTTCAAAAAATTACAATGAGTTTGTTTTTACAATGTTAACATATTAAAATTTCAGGAACCGTAGCGTCACAGTTTTTGAGAAAAAAAATAGAAACTTATGATCTTATACACAGGTTTTTACAAGAAATGGGCACGACATTTACATTTTCAACAATAACTTGGAGTAGTAGTTTTCGTACCTGGTGGCGCATGTCTCCAGGGCAAACACCAGGCCTGAGGGACCTGCGAAGCAGGGCCCGAGTTGTGCTTGCCCTGCAGGTTGGATGCGCACCAGGTGCGAACCCTATTTTTCCTACCGAGGGGCACACTCAACGTAGCCTAAGGTAGGAAAAATATTTTTACAAATTTTTCAAAAAACTATAGTATCTTATTGTAAATAACAATTAGAATAACATACCCGAATTTGAGATAGCCTGCCATCACGGTTTGAGAAATACTCTAATCATAAGTTTGAACGAAATGTTATTGGTATATATCTATATACGGCAGACGAGAAATAAAACATTGAACATTTTCAATTTTGAAGTATTCATTTTTTATTTTCTCGCCTGTTAGTAATTTTCTGCTGAACAATATGGAATAGCTCCGCATGATTCATCAAGAATAATGATAAAAAACACTAATTTTTAATGCAAACCAACTTTTGAGGCTGACTGTANGGACTTGGCATTGGGTAGATAACGACATTGCGAATGGAGCCATGATAGGATTAAGAGCAGACTGATTTTCATATCACTCTGATAGCTGGGATTGCTGGTTGCGAATAAGGGAAAAAAAGTCATAAATAATCAAACTTTTCTCTCATATCTCTCTCTCTTCCAAAAAAAAAAAAAAAAAAAAAATTATTTTTAAAAATGGATAATTGGTGAAAAAAAAAAAAAAAAAAAAAAAAAAAAAAACAACTGAATGTGATTTAATCAGGTAATAAGAAAACTTCGTACGTCAAGATTGTATAACATGCTTGTTAATTCTTAGTAAGCACTTATAAAACAATTGTTCTTTAAGCATAGCTAAATGAAATGAAAACAAAAAGTGAAAGGTAATAACAGTGTATTGCGATTCAACTGATTAAAATTTAAAATCACAAACATCACAGTAGAAGGAGGATGCAATTAATTATGTACTATTCACAAAATTTCTTATAGCTATTTTTTACATTGTTAATGCAACTTTGTAATAGCAAAATATTTAAATCATAAGCAGATTTTACTCGTTTGCAAGTGCTTCTAATTTAGGCTGTATACAAAGAAAAATTTGAATATGTGATTTACGGGTGGCGTAAGTATAATTTATTTGCGATTGAATTGTAATTTTAATTTTAAATCACAAACACCATATAAGATGAGGAATGCCATTGTAAAACGTAAGTAATTGTTTATTAATAATAAGATTTTTAACTGATATTTCTGAGGATGCGATTAAAATTTTAAATTAAAATTATTACGAAAATTTCCGAATAAATTGATTCAAAAAATAAAATTTCCTGGATTTTTCGAACATAAAACCAAATCGGCGGACAAAGTGGTCGTTATAAACGTGTTCACCTTGATTAAGTTTCTTGTATAATGAAAGAGTTAATACTTAAATAAATTGTCAGTGTTAAAAAAATAATACCCTCACATATGATTGGACAGTAATGTAAGAGCAGCTCAAACAGGATTAAAATCTAAATTAAATTACGGAAAAGATTAATATAAGTATGTACGAATAAAGTAAAGAAATAAATCCGTTGATATGGGTACAACTGTTGTCACACCTTATCAGAAATAACAACAAACACGGTTCTGCAACGTTGAATACTACGTTTGTAACTGTATAATTGTGTGAAACAACATATTGAAATTACAAAGGCCAGCCGGAGTCAGTGTTTTGCCCCATGCGCCGGTCGGCACCTAGTCGCAAAAGAGGGGTACAGATGGGAGCGCTAAGCTGCCCCGGCTGTTAAAATGTGACTTTCTTGATTTTTTTTAGCCTCCCTTTCAATGAAATTGATAAAGTACTCTGGCAGTGTGATACAGAAATACATGAAGATGATACAAATATTTTTTCACAAGAAAAAATTTGATTATTCGTCAGCTATTGCGAAAAAAACCAATTTCTTGTATCTCGGATTCAGAATAAGCTAAGCATTCTTTTTTTCTTAAAAATTCTTGATTTTATGACAAATACAATGACGTTTGTTAGGGAAAATATGAAAAATTGACTGAGATATTTGCAATTGTTTAAGTTGCAGAACACAATTTTTGCTGGCAAAACGTCAAAATTCACGAAAATCAATTTTTTTTTTCATTTGTTATCATTACTATCATTAAATACAATATTTTCATTAAAGCGAAATGTCGATAAACCGACCATGAAGTTTGTAATATCACTTTAAAATTTTACTTTAAAAAATTAATCAACAAAAAACTAACAATTATTTTGCAATTTTACAAATAGTTATTTGTTATGCAACCTAATACCTATATTTTCTCACGGTTATGTTCAAATTAACATGGTATTTCTTTTCATCAAGTCGATCTGCACTGTTTTGTAATATTATTCGATCATTTTTGGTATGTTTTTTTGATAGTTTGGCACAAGTGCTCAATTTTTTTTTATCCTAAATGTGGATTCGAACAAGTTGCAGTTTACCGTCATAAAAATCGAGATAAAAATAGTTGACATGGGCCTCTGTAATACGTGTAAAGAAGGCTTCGAGCCTACTTATATGCATTTATACGAGCTGAATAAGTTAATTTTTTGGAACCGATTTAATCAGATACCAAAATGTACAAAAAAAAAAAAAAAAAATTTATTTACAACTGTAATTCAACCGAATTGAGCACAATGATCGAAAAACACGTTTCTTCTTCATAGTTTTTTAAACGTACGCACAAATTATTAGTTTTTGCATATATTCAATGTTCCTTACCAACCCCAGTGCGGTATGTAAGTAATAATAATAAATAAATAATATGTTCATTAATGTTCATTATATGTTGCTATAGTAATATAATCTACTCTAGACTTAACAAGTAGTTGACAAATTTTTTCAATTTCACTCCTTTTCTGTAATAAATTTTCGATTTTGAAAAAAAAAGTCTATTTTTTCACTTTGCTGAAGCTGTAACGATAATTTTTCAGTCCATGAAGTATGTAGTAGAATAACATCGACGGAGGTAATAAGAATAAAAACAAAATTATAACAAAACCATAGGTAAAAAGCCAAAAGTACCATTTAGAACATTACGAAAAATTGACGAAGAATCAAAATACGGAAGTAAAAAATTGGTCTGTAATGTTGCACACTAAAATAATACATTACATTAGTGTATTGTTTGGAAAATAATTCCTTTTGAATCAAAACAACGGAGTAAAATGGTTCAGTGTGCTGGAAGCTAGGAAAAATTTCATTAAGTAAACAAATACAGTTCTTCCAAAACAATTTTTTTTTAATTGTCATATTATAAAGAGTTTATGAAACCAATTTTAAAGTAATAATTGTTGAAGATGTTTTTATTGATGAAGGTTTGAGAATGGATTAAAAAATATGTAACTAATTCGACTGTTTTATTGTTAGTTGATTCATCAGAAATTCTCATACTTTATCGTAAGCATTGTTTGAATACTTGATTAAGGTCATGTGCGATAAACACTATCGCGTCATAAGTCCCTCTGTGTGATAATAATAGTTAGTAATAAATTTAAGGAAAATTCAGTTTTTTACAAATCATACTAGTAAGGACACCTTATGGGAGAGAGTAGAACTTTGAAACAAGAACCTTATATCGGTAAAGTAGAGCGCGACTCTATCAACTCACATTTGAAAAGTCAAAATGTATTTTAAAACATTAAAATGTCAGTGTGAACATTTATTACAGGCTATTTCAAACAAAAATTTCAATTACAATTATATTGATGCATAATTCTAACTAAAAATATTCAATTGATTTACATTTACGTATTATTGATTTAATACCAAATGGAACTTTTTCATTATTTGTTCCATATGTAAAATTTTTGAAATAACGTGGTATTAAAATTTTTCTCTTGACTTAAGTTTTTAAAAAGTTTATAATAAAAACAGTTATAAAGAATTGCAATTCAAACGTGTTCAAACGTGACTGTTTAGAGAAAGTACATCCAAAAATTTATTATTTTTTCATATGGAGAGCTAATACAGTAATAATCTCTAAACATGAATACATAATAGAGTTACAAAATGACGGTAAAAACAATAACAAAAGTAATTTGCATTTTACAAACAATTTCTTTAATACAACTGTCGTAATATAAATCAGAAAAAAAGTCAGAGAAATATTATAAGAATGCAAACAGCTTTATGCCATAGTAATGAACTAAGTAAAATCCTACCTTGTAAGTTGTCCAGCATAAATTGCAACAGCTTGCTGATCCCCTGTGGTTCTCCATAAATCTGCATAACATCCTTACCTAAGGGATTCCCATGCAGTCCCAAAACTTGCAATTGGAATAACTTTCCTAATTCATAGGGAAGAACTCTAAGGTAGTTTTGGTTTAATAATAATTCCCTGAAAAAAGTATGAAAGTTAATAGTTGTTGATGACAGTAATTACAGAGTTATTTTTTAAAACCATTCGTTAGAGGGTGACTCAAACATTTAAAGGATAAAATCCTCAAAATACTTTTTTGTTAGAATGATAAGAGTAAATTTCTTTTTTTTTTAATACGTTTTATTATTTTTAAAGAAACTTTAGTAGGCAATACAATATAAAACTTTCTTATTAAATTTAGCACACAGTTAAACTGTCTTTTAATTCAAGTTTAACTGACACTGAATTATTAATAAAATCAATAAAAAACCGACCTTAGCTGAATCAGGTCTCCTAATTCTGCTGGAAGACTCCGTAGCTTATTACTACTGAGATCAAGGACTCGCAAATTGGCCATCTGGCCTACCTCAGCAGGTATCCTCTGAAGATTATTGTCATTGAGGTAAAGCGCTGTGAGATGGTTCAGCTGCCACAAATTGAGGCTCAAGTTCCTTACACCTCCTGTTATCTCCAGTTCCGGCCAATAAGATTTCTTCCCAGCGTTAACGTCATCCACAGACATGATTGTATGTGTACGACGTGGGTTGGAGCTTTCATACTTTTCTTTATTATTTCGGGACATACTAAATCCTGTTGTTTGACAAAACAAGAATAAAAATAAGTAAAAATCATCTTGCTCAGTTATTGGGTACAATGTTAAAGTTTCAATACATTACTGTTACACTGAAAATTTTGGAGATTTTGGTTTGTAAGAATCCTTTGCCATGCACTATGTATTTTGGTTCTTTAGTGAATTGTGTATTATTGAGGAAATATAATAGTTTAATGTTTCTTTGATTCACTTGTATGTTTTTATCATTACAAACGTTATATCAGTTTTAAAGATGGTATATTTTCAATAAAAACTATTCAGAACACGTTTTTTGATCATATGAAATTATAATAGCATTTTTGTAGGATGAAATGACTAGAATATATATTTTGGTAAAATAAAAGTTTATTCAAACAGCAAGTAAGTAATTATTGAGTTTTTACACTGATATGGTCTGCTGATGATAAGATGAAAATAATGCATTAACATAAAATACAACTTTATACGTACAGCAGTACATAAGAACATTGAAAATATAGATTAGTATAAGTTATCAAAAATGTACTAGTAGACAGTATTATTAACAATTTAGATATCCCAGTAAATATTTCAAAGACTAGATTCAATAAGTGCAAATAATATATAAATCAACACAGTCACACTCATAGTGGGTGTTAAAAGTTATAAACATTACTATAAACAAGAAGTGGTGGTACTGATTTCAATTCAGGTGACAGAAATTTTCTATTTAGTGTAGGTGTAGAGATGATAAATTTTGATCAATGCAAGATTTATAATTTGGATCATATTACTCAATACTAACTAAAATCACACAATATTACAATATTAGCACATTTCAAATGATAAGTAAGCATTGAAACTTGTTAACAGTTAAGTTTATTGTATGAATTAGTACCTAATACTTTAACAAGTTGTGTTATTTACATTTTGACTAACCTATTTCACCAGGAACAGTGGATTTTTTGGAACAGGTGTCAGACAGGATTTTTGAAATAGGACAGATTATCAGTTTCAGGTAATGCACTGTTCTGCAATGGACTTGGCATTGGGTAGATAACGACATTGCGAATGGAGCCATGATAGGATTAAGAGCAGACTGATTTTCATATCACTCTGATAGCTGGGATTGCTGGTTGCGAATAAGGGAAAAAAAGTCATAAATAATCAAACTTTTCTCTCATATCTCTCTCTCTTCCAAAAAAAAAAAAAAAAAAAATGTGTTCTAAATTGATTGTTGTTGTCAAGTATTTTCAGCACCACAAAAACTTAAACAACTTGTTGATTGAATTCATTCAATGAGTTGGCATTAATCCTTTGACAAATAGACTTTTGTAAATTGACCTCTAAGAAAATAACAAAAATCAAAATAGCCCCCCTTAAAAGCTCCAAAATTTCATCTGCTATAGTCCCCCCATACAACACCTCAAAAGTTCTCAAACATCAGTTTCCCAGCTGATTTCCGAGCTCCGAAAAAAAATACTACCCCAAAACTTTAATTGTAAACCCAACAAGTAGCAGAAAGACCAACAAACCGCCAATTTCCAAGCAGAAATCAGCCGTTCAGTCATCATTGCTCCGAATACACGACCGAGTAAACAAAGCTGTTCCAGTATGTGTGTGTGCGTTTAAGTGTCTCTCACCTTCATCTACTTCTCGGCTAGAGCGACGACGTCGAGGACGCTTTCCGAGGGTCAATCTCAGCAGTTGGGACGACAAATAGTTCAATCAAATGATAAGAAACCAAAACATACACGAATAACAACACGGAGCGAAGGGCTGGCGAAATAAAACGCGCACACACCACCGAAAAGCACGGCACAACAACGCGCACACACACTCTCCGTCGAGGACGACGACGTTAGCTTATACACGTACGAGGATTACAACGATTACAAATATTGGGTAAAAGAAATTATAAACGAGGATCCGCTGTGTCTCTTCACCGAAGGGGGGAGGATTTGACGCACATACACGATTTATTTTTTATATTATCAACACAAACACACACGCGCGCGCGCGCGCGAACCACTGGGTTTTATAATACTGCACGTAGCCTTTACACGTACACGTCTATTGCAAAAAAAAATGTATATTAAGTATCTCCTCTCTTCGAGTCCTGTAATTTATTTTTTTGCACTGCTCCTTTTATCTTCTTTTTTTGGAGGTTATAATAGATACTCGCGCGCGACCCGACAGTTACTGGCTCTTAAAATTCACTTTCAGCTTCGTCAGTGTTGTTCTTCTGAACTTCGTCGGTGTATCTTAATTTTGATCGGACGTGATGTGCGGATGCGCCAGACTCTTCTTCGAGAGGAGATCCGAAGCTACTTGTATCTTATTCATATATACGAACGAATAGACGAACGGTGCAGGAGTGCAGGACAACTATTAGAGTAAGAATATACATGTATACAAGTACTTGTGTGTAGGTGTGTGTATATATATATATATATATATATATATATACAAGTTGGTCTGCTTGCTTGGTCTATTTTGTAAATGTATATAACTCATACTCAAACATCAACACATCTAGGTATAGGCAAACTTCGAGTACTTCGACTTAGTCGAAGTCGACGCTTCGACCACCTTCGATGTTCGACGTTCGACAGTTCGACATTTACACAACGTACAGAACAGAATGCATACATTGCATATCATAGTATGTGCATTTGTAAACATTTTTATATCTATATAATTATACACTGTAGAAAATACATTGGTGTAGCAGTGCACTGTTTTATCCTGCGGTGCCGTGCGGAGTAGATTACCGCCACATATAATTTACCCGTAAGGAAGCCTCCAAGCTTCAAGGATCTACTTATAGCTAAATCTAGTGAATACGTTTTGAACTGCAATATCAATAATAATTTATCAATTGATGTGTTACGGCAGTAATACAGTTGCCTCGGGTAACATCGGTTTTCAATTTTTTTAACAGAGAATATCGTGTTTTTTTCTTATGAGAAACATTTTCTAATTTTTTCGGATGAAAGAAACATCATATCACAAGCGATATAAAAGTTTTTGTAACGGCAAAATAAAAGTGTTCAAAATCTTTTTCATATTTGCTTATTTGAAATAATAATAATAACACTCAGTTATGTAGCACAAAAACTCTTCTTCTTCTTCTTCTTGGGGGGGTTTGTGGCCATAGAGATATTTTATTTATAATATCTCTATGTTTGTGGCTCCAGTGAGGCTACTTTTGTGTTAGTAGCGCAGTCCGAATGGCCATTAACAAAACTTATTATCGTCTGCTTGCTCGGTGAGGTGCGGCATGGTGAAAGAATTTTGAAGTATTAGGTATGTTCGATTAGGGAGTCCAGAGCATCCCGAGCAACCCCGGGCCGCCGGGACGCACAACCGCACCTACAGCTTTGGCCGCAAGTGCAGATACGCGCCCCAGCGGTACCCGGGCCGCCCGGAGTGCACCGGGCATCTCAAATGAGTAAATACATTGGAGGAGGGGGGGGGGTAGAAGTTTAAACGTGAAGAATTATAGGGCAGTTAAGAGTAATACGATAGGATGGTGATGATTTCTAGTAGGTGAGAATGTTTGTAGAGAATTAGAGAAAAAATTCGCAATCACGTAAGAAGTTATGTAGGATTTTTATGAGTTTGACTGAGGGGGAGGAGAGAAAAGAGTTGATCGTGAATGGGGGGAAGAGTTTGAATTTGGAGAGGGATTTCAGAAGGGTGCATCGCTGCACGTTGAAATGTTCACATGACCAGAAGACATGGTTGAGGTCTTCTACGTCATTTCCGCATTGACATAAGGGGTTGGCGATTAGGTTTTTGCGATGAAGGCTGAATGCGAGGTTGTAATGATTAAAGCGCAGCACAAAAACTCTAATATTGACTTCGTATGGCGCGAAATAAACTCAGTTAAGGAGGTTCGGTAGTGTTAGCGGGGGGAAATCTCAGAGAGGCAAGGGGAGGGAGAGCGTCTAGCAACGTTGTGAATTTTTTCGGCTGCTGGCACGTCGTCTACTGTTGTTGTCGTCTACTGCTGTTGTCGTCGTCTACTGATGACAGTGTAATTATTTATTCGGTTGAATTTTTTATAATTAAATTTTCAATTACAAAAGGAGTTTTTACTATTCATTACATTTCAAAGCGCGCGCCAAAAGCAGCGTTGCCAAGTCGTCTGCTGCGAGCACATTTTTTGCTGTTTTTTAATAGAAATTTGTGGTAGGGCTCTCTCAAACTTTGACAAAATATTATTTTGACAATATTCTTTCATTTAAAAAAAAAAAAAGCAAGTTCATTTAGTCGTTTTTTTTTTATGTGAAATTTAAGTGATTTCTCCATAAGCCTACATGTTAAAATATTGTTTTTTCAGGTCAATATATCTCAAAACGGTGGGGGTTAAACCCTTCAAAAATTTAGCTGTAATTTGATACTATTATCCCAAACAACATATCGAAATTTCGAAAAATTTTCGTCATAAAAAATTATCACTACCGAACCTCCTTATTAATTCTTCTAAATGAAGCTTATCAATGATGTCAGAATAAACTTTTTAAGTCTTCAGTAACTTTTTAATCGATATGAAACAGAAAAACTCGTTTCATTTTGGAACATGAAGATCCTGGTATCATGATTAAGGAGGCTCCCTCGTGCAGAAATGCCAACCCACGTCGTAGGTCACAAATTTGCTCACGTAGGTCACAAACTCAGGTATAGCTGGCATCACTGGTGAAGGGAACATAGGCTTACCTGTGGAAATAAAATGACTCGATCCATTTTCAAAAGAATATCTCGAAATTTTTCAGGGTAACACTTGCGTTTTTAAGTTGTTTTCATCGCGTGTCCGAGCTCCACCATAAGAATACGTGTTCAAAAGCGCTACATTGAATTAAGAATATCTCGAAATTTCGCAGGGTAAGCGTTATAAATAATTATATCATTGGATTCAGTAGATTTATAACCATTAAATTCATCTGGTCTTGGTCGGAAACTGTCACGAGGAAGCCTCCTTAATAAGCAAATAAAGCACACAAAATCTAGAATGAGTCCACGAATCCAATCTAATTTCAAAAACTCTTCAACGTAGTCGTAAAAACATGTTTCCATCACTTATCAGTTTACTTAGTTTAAATAATTTCGTGGAATCGTCGAATCGGTCTTTTAAAGACGCCATTATTTAGTCAAACTTTGAAATAAGATTTTCTGAAATACACTTCAGGTATTTTGAATTTTGCTTCATGACCTTGACTTTGATCGATATATGTTTAGAAATTTTGTGCTGACGTGAAATAACAGGTTTATCAAGTTCAAAGTCACTATTACTTTTTTGTTCTAAGTTCCTTAAAATTTAAAATCAGGAGATGTACCTAAAACATAAGTAACAGCTTATGTCTTGTATATGATTTGATATCACATAATTCACACTCTTATAGGTGTGTTAAAAATTTCTGAGTCAAAAAAAAAAAAAACCGTCGAATTTGCTCCGTGCAACACTTTGAAACAGCACCACCAACGGGGATAATTGTTCATACTTATTCGTTAAAGCAGATGTACTTCTTATAGAAAAAATTTTTTTTCAGCATAAAACAGTGAAAAAATTACTGTTGGCTCGAAACTTGTTAACAAAACTAAAAATACTTAACTTAGTTATAAGAGATCCGTTAATGCCTCAAAAAAAATGTATGAAGCGTCATGGCCCATAAGAGGCTATGTTATTCTTATGAATAAGTACATTATGTGAAACAATAAGCTTAGATTCTTTTTTTTAATGTATGAATTTGTATAAAAAAATTTAAAATTTCGATTAACACGTCATTGGAAGCTATTGAGAAATACAGAGTAAAAGCGAAGTGCTTTCTGGCGTATAATCACATAAATGAAGCAATAATTTGTATTGATATAGTAGATCGTACATACTCCGTATCATGTGGTAATACGCTTTTCTATTATTAATAAATGTTGTATTAATTATTCAACAACGTGGCCAGTAAGTGACCTGGGTTACATAGAGATTGACCACAGTGTTATTAAGTAATGCTTAATTAATTTATGCATATAAACATACATACTTCTATTACCAACTTGAAGTTAAAGGTAAAAAAATTTACTCAAAGAAACCCTTTTTTTCCTCTTGATTTAAAAAAGCTCTTCCATGTCTTCTACTCTGAAAAGACTATTTCTTGCGCTGAGCCACCGATATTATTCAGCGATTCAAGAAATTGTAAGACTTAAAAAAAAATTGAACCACATCCTAAATTATGAATAAAAAGCGGGCCTCACTTTAAATAAACAAATTTGTAGTGCAAAATCTTCAAAAATTCACTCAGTTTTCTGACTCTCTAAAAAGCTATCGTTAAATGTTTCAGTATTTTCTCTGCAGGTAGAAATTTATTCAACAATATTAAATTATGTTGAGTAGCAAATTAAAAGTTTTAGTCATTTATTGCAATCTAAAGTTTTTTGTAATGAAACAATCGTATAAGATATTTAGGAACAAACCAAACTACATTTATTTTTTTCGCAATAGTGTGCGGAAAATGGGTGTCTTCCGCACTGGTATTAGTGTGGAAAATCGATTTTCCCACATAGTGTGCGACAAAGGTGTGGGGCAAAAGTTTTTCCACACAGTGTGCGGAAAAGGTGTGTGGCAAAGGTTTTTGTCTCAGAGTGTGTGGAAAAAGTGTGAGGCAAAGGTTTTTGCCGCACAGTCTGCGGAAAGGTGTACGGAAATGGTTTTGCCACACACCGGAAAAAATTTTGCTACACACTGGTAATCAAAATTCATACCTATTTTGACCCTTTTTTCCTCACACATTACGAAAAAACTTGTACGCAACTCGTGCGGGACGATTTCCCGCACTCGTGTGATAGACTCGCACTCGTGGCCGGTGACGGTAACTCGTACCTTGCGATCAACTGGTACTCGTTCCCGTCAACTCCGGCCACTCGTGCGAGTCAATCACGACTCGTGCGGGAAATCGTCTTTTCCGCACTTGTTACGTAAATAACTATTTAGCTACAGTAAGTATTAAAATGTACATATATAAACTACAAGTTCAGATGTGTAAAACCTGTCAATGAAATCATAATATTTATCACATTAAAGTAAAATTATCCTATAAAAAAAACTCTTATGGAGTGTGCGAAAATAGAAAATGTGGTTTTTTCGTACTGTATGAAATAAGACCTTGTTAAGAATTTAATTAAAATTACAAATTAGGGAATTGTTCTATCAATCTTATTGAAATACTAATCTTGAATGCATCAATCGAAAGAAAAAAAATTGTTTTATTGTTCAAAATGAAACTGTATAATATATGGAGAGATTAAAAAAAATGTAATTGTTTGAATTTTCCCTAAGTAAAACTAAAATATGTATAAGAATATTTTT